GGGCAAACTGGGCAGCAGCCGCAGCGTACTCCGCCGTCTCCGATGCGGTCAGGAGATGGAAACAGCGGTCGGTGCAACTCTCCGGCGACATCTTCCTCTACGCACACGACCACAACTTCATCTCCTGTTTCATAGTCCCTTGTAAGAAAATGTTTTTGTTTTTGTTATTTTTTTTGTAACCAAAGAATGTTCGTTCTCCTAGGGTTGAAAATTTTGAATAAAATAAAATAAATGTAGAGGGTGGTGGTATAATACGATGAATAGGACTTTGAACTTTGGAGATTGTGTTATTTGATTTTGGACCGTGGAATTTAGACGGAGTCTTTGAGATACGGTTTTAAGATTTTGGAAAACGACTGTTGATAAAATCTTGCATCTCTCTTATAAATTAAAATTTTTCTATATAAATCTCGAAACTTGATTACTGACTGGTCTATGCAACATGCATGCATGTGTTACTAATTGTTACGCAGAAGACTTTCTTTCACCATGGAAACTCCTTTTTAACATTGAAAGCTTTCACCATTTCTTCACGTGGAATCTTCCTCACATAAAATTATCAACTTTGGGGAATTTTTCTTTTTATTTTCCCGGAAATTAATGGTAAGATTCTCGTGCCGTGGAAGTAAGAATATCCCAAATATAAATATATATATATGCATATACATATATATATGTGTATAGTAATCCCGACCTCCATATAGATTCCCATTTTCTTTTAACAATGTAAAGTTAAGGGTAGTTTAGGTAAACAAATAATATTTATTTCAAAATAAATATAAAACTAGTCGAAAAATCAACAATACAATCAAAGAAATTGGTTAGAGATTTTTCGTTAAACTTCAAAAAAAAACGTTTAGAATTTCGAAATTTGAAAAGTGGTACCCATATGTCATATTTTTTTTCCCAATAATAAGCCAAGCTCGTTTCGTCAAACGGGAACTGTATCGATAGACAGATGTAATAAATAAAGAATGATAACTAGAAGGGGCTATTGTCAATTCCATATAACCGGCCATTCCAATTTATTTAATAATCGTACGGTCGCTTATGGTTGTGGAAATGATAACGGACGACGTGGCATGCCATGATTCATGCATTGCATGTCGGTGATTAATATTACTATTAATTAATTAATTAAACTTGGCCGCCTCAGAATCTTATTTACACCTTTGTTAAAAATATAAAATAATATTAGTGTTATTTCCACAATTCAAATAATAATAATATATAGAAAAATATGGACTTTTTGTTTTGAATAAGCTGGTTACTTGATGCTAGAACTTTCTGAAAATTCCTTGTTCTTTGTTTGTATGCATCAAGGGGTCGTGGACCCCTCGGCCGAATATTCGGGATTTCAATTGAGCATATGTTTTTTTTTCCCTTTAGTTGACACTTGCCATGTACATCTTAAAATAACAAATTTAATGATTCCATTTTGAAAATTTTTAAATAAACAAAAACAAATAAAAATATAAAAGAAAAAAAGGTCACATGATTTATAACTATTTTAACTGATCACCTTCTTAGGTAAATGGGATGCTGTCGGAAGATTGTTTGTTCTCATCTCTTTGTACAAAAGATTCCGCTTGGTCTTACTTAATGTTCTACTAACAAAAAGTTAAATTAAACATTATTACATCTAACGTATAATTTATTTATTTTTTTTGTTATATATATTTTTCTCTACGTATAGTACTATAAACTTGTGCAGAATCAATATGCGAATATGTTAGAGGGCTAGGATTAACATAAAAGAATACAATAATCTATTTTAGATGGAAGTGGTTTTGGTTTATTTGGTGAGTGAAGATTAAAACAATAAATTAAGGCACTAATCCATATGGAATAATTTGAATTTGCTGTATTAAATGTTTTGATTAGCAAAAGTGGCCCTTGGGTTGTCTTAAAGGCCAAGTGGCTCTTCCTTTACCTTAAAAACAGCTATCTCACCCAAAAAAGACATTTTTTTTTGTCTTATTTATAAAACTATATACTAAAGTCTCGTCTTGGTTTATTCGACTACAACAATATCTTAGAGGAATTTTCTCTACTTACTCATAACAAAAAAAAAAATCAAATAATTTTTAATTGATTTAGGTTATAAATAATACATATTCTATGCTAATCACATAGGTCCGGTCCATCAGTCATATTTTCCAATCTAATATTATATTTTTATAACTTGATTTTTCCAACGCATTGGATTCCAATCGTTCTCTCTCTCTCTCTCTCTCCCTCTTTTATTTTTACAATTACCTTTTGGAAAATATTGCGTTATTGATTATTATTATTGTAGCTTCCATACTTATTGACTTGACCTTTTCCTCTAAAACAGATCGCATAATTTATAATATGCGTCCCAAGTAAATAATACTCTCTCCGTTTCAAAATAGTTGTAGTGTTAGGTTATTTTCTATATTTCAAAATATTTGTAGTTTTACAATTTCAAGATATTTTTTTATAATAGTTTCCAATTTTATCCCTACTAAATTCCAATATATTATTAATGATTACATTGTTTTTATCATCATATAAGAGCATATGTGACTTTTGATACATTTAAAAAAAATGTGAAACAATTTAAAACAACAAATATTTTGAAAGAGAGGGAGGGAGTATTAATATTATCAATAGTTGCCCTAAAAAAACTTGATACCGTTAATGTCCAACAATTGCATGCATATCCTAAAGATCACAATAAAAAAAAACATATCCTTAAAACAACAACTACAATAATAATATTCATAATAACAATAATAATAATATATTTTCAAACGAATTTCAGTTTTTCTATTATATCAATAACAAATTAAACGCAAAGTAGCGAGGAATAAGAGTAATTTAAGAGGTATTTTGTCGTCGTAATTTACATGATTAAATGCGCTGAATCTATTTTTTGCTTGGGTTGAAAGGTTGGTTGAGTCTTGTTAACCGGGTTTCTTCCTTTTTCGGTAAAAACGGAATCTTTATGAATGGGTTTCACGTGGAATATCGGATCTCTCCAACTTGAAGTCACCTGAAAGTGGAATAGGATTCCAAGAAAAACAAATTCCAAAAAAAGAATATTAATTAAAATAAGAATAAAACAAAAACTATCCCTCGATGGAGAATACGCCTTGGATCATGTTAGGAGACTTTAATCAAATACTCAGCGCGGGTGAACGATCGGATTGTCCTGGTTTTCAGCCCTGCTCCAGGGGTTTATTTGATTTTGCTAGCTGCCTTGAAGATGTTGGGATGTTTGATATCTGTCGCTTCACTTGGTGGAATAACCAGGTGGAAAATCCAGTGGCAGTCAAATTAGATAGGGTCCTTATCAATGAGCAGTGGTTTGACAAATTCCCCGGAGCATATGCGGAATTCTTGGCCCCGGGTGTATCTGATCACTCTCCTTATATCGTTCACTTTCCGAGCATGCAATCCAGAATTAAGAGGCCTTTCAAGTATTTTGACCATCTCTCAACACACCCGGACTTTGGGCAAACAGTAAGTGATCACTGGATGTTTGAGGAGACACAAGGGACAAGACAGTTTAAATTCTGTAGTAGTCTGAGGCTCCTTAAATGCCCATGCGAAGACTGAATAGAAGGAACTTCAATCGACTGCCCCAAAAAGTAAAGGAAGAAGAGGCCAAACTTGAGAGGATACAATCTGACATCCTCAGATCCCCACATCAGCTCTTGCAGCCCAGGAACATTCGACCCAGAAAAACCTATTATGGTTGAGACAAGCGGAAGAAAGGTTCTTTCGCCAAAAAGCTCGAATTACTTGGCTAAAACTTGGAGATAGAAATAACTCGTTCTTCCATAACTCGGCACGGCAGAGGGCTGCCCGCAACCAGATTCAGTTTTTCATGGATGGAGAGGGAAACAAGATCACTGGATCGTCTGCCATCAAGGACCACGCTGTCTCCTTCTATACGGCACTTCTAGGCTCCTCAGACCCAAAAATTCGTCGAGCTCCCGCCTCATGGCTGGCTGAATTATTTCCTTCCACTTGCCCATCGGAAATAAAGTCCTCCTTGACATTAGAGGTTACCCTTGAGGAGGTGAAGTCGGTTTTCAACTCCATGGCAAGTAACAAAGCACCGGGCCCAGACGGTTACCCGAAGGAGTTCTTTGTTTCAGCTTGGGATACAGTCGGGGATCACCTAATTGAAGCAACCATGGAGTTCTTCCGCAATGGGAAACTACTAAAAGAGCTCAATGCGACCATCATCACATTGGTTCCGAAGATCCCAGAAGCCATTAACCTTGGGGACTTTAGACCAATCAGTTGTTGTAATTTTCTATACAAGGTTATTTCCAAAATCATTGCTAACCGGCTGCAACTTCTACTTCCTTGGTTAATCTCAGGGAATCAGGCTGCATTCCAAAAAGGGCGTTCTATGGGTGATCACATTATCCTTGCAGCGGAGTTGGTAAGGGACTACAATAGACCCTCGGCCGAGCCAAGTGCAATGCTAAAAATCGATATCAAGAAGGCGTTTGACTCAATTAGCTGGGATTTCAGAAAACTTCTTGGGTACAGGGACCATGCAAGGGAATTTCTCAGATGTGTACTCGGCAATGGGAAGGCAGCAACTTTTTGGCACGATGACTGGACAGGGATGGGGCCACTTATAGAGCACATTGGGGCTGTAGGCCCTCGTGCTCTCAGAATTCCCCTATATGCTACTATCGCTGAGGCTGTTATAGGTTCAAACTGGAATTTTCTGTTGGGTTTCCTGGGATCTCTAGAGCGAATCCTATTCCTAAGAGATCGATTCTAGGGTTTGCGCAGCGGATATAAAACAAAATTTGATAAACCCTAGAACCATGCTTCTATTGAATCGTAGAATCGTTAGAACGCTTACCTCAATCGATCCGGGGCCTGTCTCTATCGATGAATCGTTCTGATCACGAAAGGCAGGAAGATTACCTCGCCCTCTACACGTATCCACACCTCGGGATGGATTCCAACGGTTGGAACTTGTCTGCTAGGACTCGAATCTCTATTCGATTTATGTGCTTCGAGAAAACGGACTTCGATCAACCTCTCAAAACCTTGGATCTCACCAAAGTTCTGCTAGAAGTCTGCCAAAGTCGGCTCAAAAAGTTCACATCAACATTAGGGTTTTAATCTCTATCTTA